AATTAATTATTAATTATACATTAATAAAATCTCTAGATTTTTAGCTTTATTTTGATATATTTTTTATTAATTTCTATACAGTAGTTTTTGAATAATAAATAAATAAAAAATTCTAAAATTATACTGTATATAGATTCAATAAGTCACTTAGTACAATTATAAATATATATAATCACTAATCCTAATAATGTTTTTGTTTTTCTATAATATATAATGTCCTATAACTATATAATAATACTTGGCTTCCAAGTTGATCATTCATAGTATCTTTTCAATCAATTAGTATTTACTATCCTTTTAAGTATTTTGTCCTTTATGTTCTTTAATTTGTATGATTCTGATATGATAATATTATAAATATAATATGGTCCTATTTATTTTTTCCTAAATTTATCACCATATATCTTTGCTTTTGCTAATTTATAGTATATAATAAAACTTTGTTTTTTATATTAAATTTTTGAACTTTGATTTTTTAATTATGATATTATTTTTGTTTGTCCTACACTTTTCAATATTTTGTTATGCACTAAGCCTTAAATTATTAAAATCATTAGTAATAAATTCAATATATTACTGTAGTTGTTGATTCAACATGTTACTAGATTTCTACTTACTATCTTGAAAATCAATAGATAACCTTGCTTCATAGTCATAAAGTAGCTTAAATAATAAATATTTGGTAGTATGATTTTGAATAAAGTGATAAGTAAATAGTACTAAGTCCAGAAAAGTATTTTATGTATCACTATAATCACTTATATATTTAGCTAAAGTATTGCAAAGAGTATTGTTGAATTATTAGTTAATCCATTGATTTGTGAATGATAAGTAGCTAAGAGTTAGTAGCAAATAGTCATTAATTTATATAAAACATCTATTAACTCATTAACAAATGGTGTTTCTTGATTAGATAAAAGAACTTTAGAATATCTATATTAATATAAAATATTCTTATATATGAATTTTGCAATAGTAGTAGCTTTAATATCCTTGAGAGCTTTTGCTTTAGACCACTTGGTAAGATATTCAGTGACTACAACAATATATTAGTTGTCTTGAGAAGTTATTGACAAAGGTTCAATAATGTCAATTTCTATGTAATCAAAAGATTGTTCAACAGGTATAGGGTGAAGTTTCTAATGTAATATAGAAGCTCCTTGTTGCTGACAAGTATTATAACTTTTGATATATTCAGCAATAGTTTCATATTAATTAGATCAATAATATTGATTCCTTGCTCGATTATAAGTTGCTTCAATTTCAAAATATCCAATAAGAATATTTTAATGAAGATTATATAAAATTAATTTCAATTAAGTTGCCTTAATAACTTTGAGTGGTTCTATTAGATTTTTAGTATTGTGTCAAAATAGTGTGTAATATTGGATAAGATAATGTGTTGCTTGTTTTTTAAAAGAGATTATTTTCTTTGCCATTAAGTCCAGAGGTAGTTTTTTAGTAGAGAGATAGGTGTATAATTGCTGATAGGTTTTCAAATCCATAATTAGAGTGTTGAAGTTGAAGAGAGTCTTGATAATGCATCTGCATTTTGATGCTATCTGCCTTTCTGGTATTGAATTTTGAAGAGATATCCATAATAGTAAATATCCATTGTGTTGTCCTTTTGTTTGGAGTGGGGTTATTAATCATCCATTGAAGAGTTGAGTGGTCAGTAATAAGAGTGAATTCCTGAAGATAGATATAAGGATGGAAGTATTTCATGGCTTATACAGTAGCAAGACATTCAATTTCAATGGTGAAGTAATTCAGTTCAAGTCCAACAAGACTTTGGCTTGTATAAGCTATCACATGTTTATTTCCTTGTTCATCCAATTGAGCTAGGACAGTTTCCAGTTCTTTGTAAGAAGCATCAGTATATAGAAGAAAAGGCTTGGAGAAATCTGGATAAGTCAAGATTGGTACGATAGTTAATTTTTTCTTAAGTTTCTCAAATGCTGATTAACATTTTTCATTCCAAAGATATGGAATATTTTTTCTCAAAAGCTTGTTCATTGGTTCAGCTATGGTGGCAGAACTTGGTATAAAGTGGCGTTAATAAAATACTAGTCCAATAAATCCTCTCAGTTCAGTAATATTAATTGATATGGCAAAGTTTTTTACCTTTTCAACTTTGGCTGGATCTGGTTGAATTCCATTTTGGTTAATAATATGTCCCAAAAATACGAGTTCTTTTTTGTAAAAGTGGTATTTTTCCAAGTTAAGCTTGAGATTGGCTTGCCTAAATCTTTCAAAAACTTCCTTCAGGTGTTATAAGTGTTCCTCAAATGTTGCAGAGTATATATTGATATCATTTAAGTATACTAATATATATTTTTCCTTAATGTTATAGAAAATGTAGTCCATGAGTTGTTGAAAAGTAGCTGGTGCATTGGTTAATCCAAAAGGCATGATATTGAATTCAAAAGTTTCTTGTTTGGTGATGAAAGCAGTTTTTTTCTTATCCACTGAATTCATTTCAACTTGCCAATATCCACTAGCTATATTTAAGGAAGTAAACTATTTGGCCTTTTCTAGAGAGTCAAAAATTTTATCAATCCTAGGTAGTGGATAAGCATCCTTTTTGGGGACTTTGTTGAGCTTCCGGTAGTCAACACAGAACCTTGTTTGACCATTTTTCTTTTTAACCAATATAATTGGAGAAGTCCAGGGGCTATAAGATGGTTGGATGATTCTTTGAGTCAACATGCATTCAATTTTCTTTCCCATAAATTCATGTTCAACAAAAGATATCCTATAAGGTCGCTATTTAATTGACAGAGTGTTTTCAGTGATAATGTGATGGGTGACCAAGTCAGTGCATCCAGCAGGTGAGTCATCAGTTGCAATTATATCCTGGTATTGTTGTATCAAATGGTTGAATTGATTTTGTTGTTCCTGGGTTAAATCAGGTGGTTTGTTTGGCTCCTTTTTATGATTCACATTCAAGTATTGAATAAGTTCTCAATCCTTGGCTTTGAGTTGACAAGTGGTACAAATATCCAATTCCTGTTTCAAGTAATGATCACACCAACAGATTGTTTTTGATTCTTTCCATCCTTTTTACAGAGGTTTAAAAGTCAAAAGCAATTATTGCATGGCTTCAAGTTCCTGGATATAAGTTATTAGTTCCTCACGCTGTCCAATAGTGACTGTTGACTTATCAATTTCCACCAGTAGTTGTTTATTAGAATTCCTCAAGAGTGCACAGTATATTTGATTCTCATCCAGAGTTTTCTCATATTTCAATTCATCAGTTGAATCATAGATTTCCTTTCCTTTTCCCTTATCCAAAGGTTCAATCCCTATAGACCTTCCATTGTTATTAAATTTTGGTTTTTCCCAACATGAGACTTTACATCAGATAATTTTTCCCAAATAATTCAAGTCCATGGTTTGATAATCATAATCTATAATAGACTTGGTTTTTGTAATCCAGTCATTTTTCACAATAACAGTATATTGAATTGATTTAGACACATTCACAGTGACAGGTATGGTAATTTCTTTGATAGTGATTGGTAAATCCTTCACCTTGCCCAATGATCATTTTTTTTCTCTATTTACGTCCACAAGATTGATATAAAATGGTTTATGAATAGTGCATCCCAAAGAGTCCAAAAATGGCTTAGAAATAATACTGCTTGTTGACCCAGTATCAATAATTAAATAGATAGGACAGTTGTCAATTTTTGCATCACAATACAATGCTTCCACAGCTTTTGGATTGGTTGGTTCAATTTGTTCAAATAGAAAAGATGTTGATATAGAGAGATTTGAAAGTATAGGGAATTCCTGACCCTCCTTAGGTCCCTCCAATCTTTTAAATGGTGGTTTACTCACTCCACAGCATTAGCAAAGTCCTGTATAGAAAGATTGAGCTATTGATTGTGATTGTTAGATTAGTTGCTAGAAGATGATTGGTTGTTGTTAGATCCATTTCCATTCATTAAATTGTTAATATTTCTTTGAGAATATTGATTGTTCAAGTGTCCAAGTTGATTACAAATAAAACATATCCTTTTATAGTTGTTATTGTTAAACTAATTCCTATTTTTATTACTGTTGTAGGACCTTACAGAAAAAAAAACTCTTTCCCGCAGATCCTTTTTTTCTTAAAAATTTTCTTTTTAGGCAATTTTAGGAAATAAGAAAAAAAGTGAATGGAAAGATGAGTTCTCCTAGAGACCGATAAAGCCCATATACCTAGGGCAGACCCAACTACAATGAGAATACTCTAGCAAAAGATAACACAAGACCACTATACAAAGAAACCCATATAGAAACAACAAAGTCTAACCCAAAAAACAAAGAAAAAAAAAGAGAAACTTCCTAGAAAATGCCAAAAATGAACAATCAAGGAACCAGAATGCAAGCCAACCTGCAACCTCAGGTACAGAAACTATCAGAGAAAAGAAAATCAATCAAAAACAATCAACTTGGAGTGATGAAGTGGAAGAAATGATCATACAAGACATACAAGCTAGCAAAAGTACTAAAGATAGAAATATCAAAGAAAATAAACAAAGTAGAGACTCTTTTGTCACATTCACAGCAGCAAGAATAGATGGCTCTTATGTAGAAATAGAGGAACTAGGCACCAGCAGCTGGACAAGATCTGAATCCAGTAGGCAATGGCAGGAAGTTTTCCATAGAAATATATCAATCAACAGAGTAGGTAAACCCAGACTATGGTCACCTATTGATTCAATAATAAGATTCAAAAGGGAAAGAGTTAAAACAGGCATCAAAGCATCAGAAGTCCCAGAGAGAACTACCAATCAAAAGACAGCACACATTGTAAAAAGCTTAAACACACTTACTGGCCTTCTCTCTACCCGCAGCGAAGAAAAAGAAGAAGAAGAACACATTATTGCTATTTTCAGTGATCACTATACTGCAGAAGAAGTATGCAACACTATCTTACTTGAAAACAGATAGGGCTCATCTTGAACACATGGCTTTCATATCCCCTAAACCAAATAAGGAAAACAGTATTAGAGTATGGGACATTCCCCTGGATATAAAATTTATAGAGGTATAACAGACCTTCGTCAAATTTGAAGAGATCACAAATATCAACATGTCTACACTACAAATATGGCAATCAGCAGTTATCACCTATGCAGACAAACAGGTCAAGGAAGATCTAGTTGCCAAATAGAGTATTTTGCTATAATCAGACTTAATCAGAATTTTTGATGTACAATAGGACATGGATCAAATGAAGGCACATGGAAATATTGCAGTCAAGTTAACAAACCTTCTACCCAATACCATCGCCTTTGACCTCAGACTAACATGTAAACAAACTAAAGCCAAGACATGCTACATTCCAAGGTACATGTCATACAGATGCAAGTGGTTCACAATAATTGGCTTCATGAATCAAGAGGACCTAAAAGTAGCAACAATACAGAATGTTCTCCTTGGAGAAACTCAAGCAGAATGGAAACCAATCGACACAAAACTCTGCACTATATGTAGAAGTGCAACACATTTAGTCACTCAATGCCCAATCAAAGAAAGAAGAATACAATGGAACCAGTACAATACTGAACAAGTCAACAAATTCGGCAAACTGTATAACAGATTCAGGCCAGTATGTACTGAAACTATAAGAAGAAGGGCAACCATGCACAACAACTAGAGAAAGGTTAGGCTAGGCTTCTACGCAGCAGCAGCAAGGCTACACAAAGAAGTGGAGATATATTTTCACTTCCCTCAAACAAACATGACAGAAGTACTTCATATCCTCAAGACAATAAGACAAGAAATTCAAGAGATAAAAGAAGAAATAGTCGATCTAGAGGAATATATAGTTAATTTAGAGACATACGATAAAGACTACATGAAACAAATGGATGAAGACATCCCCTCCTCGATACAGAAGAAAGTTCAGTAATAGACACAACACTCCAAAATAATATATAAGACATCCAAACCCAACAACAATGCATTCAGTTATCCATACAAAAACTAGACAAATACATAGATTAGATGCATAACACCATACTTAAACTCCATCTTAGGCAGCACACTCTCCTCCCCACATAAACAATAATGAGTAATAATCAGAGCACTATATCCACAGAAGAATCAAGCAACTCTAGAAACAATCAAACGACAAACTTTCACAATACACTAAAACAACAAACAGAAGAAACAGATCACCTAATGACAAATTCAAATTAGAATTTAGATACAAACAATACAACAACTGGTACAACAATACCCACAACAACACATAGAAAACACAAACTGATATGGAAAGTCATAACATTCAATATTCAAGGCCTAGTAGAGACACACAAATGTGAGACATGGTTTAATTTCTGCAATACAGCAAACTGGGATATCATAATTATTACAGAGACAAATGGATTATATCAACAATCAAAACACTGGCAACACAAGAAATTTCAAACCATATGGATCTATAAAGAAGCACAAACTAGCAGACAAGATCTAAATATAATGATCAACAAAGATATTGCATATAGAATTTATAATTATAAAATACTCACAGGAAGACTTATTGCAGCAGACCTGACCTTCCCACACAAAGAAAAAATAAAAATAATTGGAGTTTACTTTTCCATACAAGACATAGAAGGAAAAAAGCAAAGGATACTCAATACCTTAAGCAAATGGATCAAAGAAACAATAGAAAAAGGATGGCATCTTTTGATAGCAGTGAACATGAATGGAGTTTCCAACCCAGCAATCGACAAGCACAGTGGCACAAAAATAACCAAAAAATACCGTCCCTCAGGAAAACAAATACAAATCCTTTTGAATAACAACTTGGAAGACATACAGTATATAGGACACACAACCCCACAAAGAGAGAATGCACCTGGAGCAGAAGAGGAAACAGTAGTAGAATTGACCAAATCTGGATGAGCCCGCAAGTGACATGGCAATCAAAAATGGCTACCATTCAAGATCTTATCGCACCAGCAATTCTAAGTAACCACATCACAATAATAGTAGAAATAGAAGTATGGAACCTTAATACTCTGAAACAAGCAATCTATCATAAACAAAACCATAGATACAACTGGCAACTTGCCACAACCCAGCAGTGGAAAAAGTTCAGTAAATACATTGAATACAACATATAAACAGAATGTACAAGTTATCAACCTCTGGATCACTGGTAGAATCAATTCAGTAATATTATTCAGAAAGCAGTCAAAAAATATATTTCAAAAAAGAAATCTTATTAGAGAAAAAGATATCAAGTCAAAAACATAGAAGAAACACCACTTATAATACAGCTACAGAAGTTTCTCACACAAATAAGGTAGCAATTAATAGATAGAGAAGAAGAAAAAATACATCAGCCACTGCAGATCCTAGCGAGCATACAAAAATCAGTTTCAGACTTGATACCTACACTCGAAAAATTAGAAGCTAAATACATCGATATATACCTATAAGAATGGATTAAAGTAATTCAAGGCAATATAAAGGCACACAAAACAGTTATAAAGGCTATCTCCCATAGAAGACAGCTCATTGCAATAAGGAAAAGAATTCAGATAAGACAAGAGTAGTATGACAATAACAAGTATGCCATGATCAACAGTATTCTGGAAAGACCTAGAAGGCAAATACAACTAGACAGACTTGTTATCCAACAAGGAGAAGATGTGCAGATAGTCACAGAACCAGTAGAAATCAAAACTAAAGTAAAGGAACACTTTTACAATTGGACACACACAGAAATATCCAAAATTTAGAATAACATCCTAGGTGGCAGGCTGAATATAGATCCAAACTATACATTAAGTGGTACTACTACAAAGGCATGCTAGAAGAGATTACAACAGAAAAACTCGTATAAGTAATCAGACAATGTAGCTCGAAGTCAACCTCAGGCCTCAATTAAATACCATACCTAGTATACAAATATTTAAAGAACAAAGAAAAAAAAGAACTTAGAGCGATTTTCAATATGATCATCCAACAAGGTAACACATCTAGAGAATGGAACAGAGAATACATATATCCTATACCTAAGCCTAAGGACTGGATACACAACCTGGATATCACTAGATCCATTACACTACTTGATGCAGAAAGAAAAATATTTACTAAAATTATTATAGATAGACTGGCTAAATGTCTGATCACAAAGGAATACTATCCGAATTTAACTGGGCTGCACTCCCAAGCAGCAACACCCAAGACCCAATTCATATAATCAGCAGCATTATCAAACATACAAAAGAAACTAAACAAGAAGCCTGAATCTTGAGTCAAGATATTACAAAAGTATATGACTTTGTTAATTTAGAGATGTTACAGTTGGCCCTTTAAAGAATCAAGGTATCAGATACAATAGTCACAATTCTGCTCAGCATTTTTCAAAACTGTCAAAATGCAGTCATAACATGTCATGGGCTAATAGATGAATATCAGATAAGAGATGGAATAGATCAAGGAGATACAATATCTCTATTATTGTAACATATTTTTTATGATCCACTACTAGCCATGATCAGTTAACAACATAAAAGCTATACAATAAGCTTCAAAGCATGTATAGAACTCAAAACAGAATGGAAGAAAAGAACCACCAATATAGCAGTCAACACATATATGAACAACACAACATGGACAATAGACAACAGAATAGACTTGCAAAGAATTATCCATATAGTAGAAGAATTCTATCACATCAATAATATCCAAATCAATCCCAGTAAGTCACAACTGATTATTATTAACAGTACAAAGGAAGACCTGAAATAAAGAGTAATAATGAATAACCAGAAAATACAAGGATGCCCTTCCAACATACCAGTTAGAATCTTAGGAATCTGATATGACAGCTCAAGACACAAAGACTATCAGAAAAACTTAATAAAACAGAAGGTCGCCAGTATATGCATATTAATTGAAATGAAAAAGATTACTAATAAACAAGTGCAATATATAATTAATCACATACTAATGCTTAGCATAGAATACCTATGCAATGACATAGTCGTAACTAGACAAATGTGCAATCAACTAATAAGCAAATTGATAACAACATTCAAATATAAAATAGGACTCACCAATACAATACCCAACAGTATGCTCTACAATAAACATAAATATAATATAATGCACATATGGGACAGACAAGTACAACTACATATCAACAATTGGTGCACAAGAGTAAATCAAAACAACATCACAGGAGACATAGCATGCCATTGACTATAGTCAATACAGAACATGTTCTGATCAACCAAAGAAATATATAACTATATAATAGCTTCTCTTTTCGAACCAGGAAGAAACCTTACACATGACATAATTTGGATGCTTAGAACACATAATTTCATATTTCACAAAATTCAAGGAGGCAACTTTCAGATCATAAAAATGGTAGACACCACTATCAAGAAATAATTGATCTAGAGCTCTATAGAAGAATTTATTCCAATCTAAAGAAATATAATATCCTTTTTACAGAACAACTTCTAAACAATAAAAGAGAGAAGCTGCTACACTGGTGTCAAATTATAAGAATCTATCAAAAATCAGTATCAGGTTCTACCCCATCTTGGTTTTTTATACTACAACATAACTTGTAGACATGAATGATCGACAAACAACAAGAACAAATCAACTGCTTCCAACAATGTATACCAACAACAGAAATATAAACATCAAAACCACATTGGATAGAAATGGAAAAGAATACAGAACTAATCATTAGAAGGAAACAAAGGAAGGTAGATAGCAACTTAACAATATATAGGCACTACATGCAGGTACCTGGTGAATCACCTTTAAATAAATGTACAGGATGCAACATTAATCAACAGTCCCAATCAAATGTCACATGTACTTTCACAGGTAGCAAACAATATACAGTAACAATTCCAGTATAATGTAATAAGATCTCAACATAACTTAACATCCTGAGAAAAGAAAACAGGCTCAGAAGTAGAGTCTCACCAAATTCGATTTCAACTATGTACACAAAACTAGAACACTAACCAATAAATTATAATGTAAATGTGCAAATACCCATAGAGAACAAGACATCAGAACAGATTAGGAAAACACTAGTCATGATATATCTTGCCTTAGATAAACTAACTACAATCACAAAACAAATACAAAATAAAATCAACTTTGAGATATATACTGATAGATCCATAACACGCCACTTCAACCAATTCTATATGGACTTTGAATGGATAATAATAACTAGGAACAATCAAGAACTCAAATTCCAAGAACAAATAGAAAACTTTCTCTCATTGACAAGAGCAGAATTGATAGCTATCCTAACAGTGATCAGTACACTACCTGCATATAGCAGAGCCAATATCCATACAGATAGCCAGGTAGCAATAAACAATATACAAAAAGTGATGGGAACAAATCACATATATAACCTGAGAAAGTAGAAAAACCTGAGGATTCTTCAATCACTCAAGGACATAATTCTAGACAACTATCTGAAAATTGACCTCATCAAAGTCAAGGCCTATACAGGCAACAAATACAATGAACAAGTAGACAAACTAGCAGCAATAGACACACATCATGGTATGGTACCAGGATATAGAACAATCAGCACTCATTTTACAAGAAATACACAATTCACATTACTCTCCCAATGGGACAACAACACACTCGAAGTCTCCATTAAAATTATGACTAAAGAACTGACAAAGACAAAACACCTAGCCAGATGGAGACTATTGAACAAAACAAGAATTGAGTTCAGTGACCAAATCATTAAACATATATATTGGCCTATAACAATGTCCAATCTGCAACCAACCAGAATGAGTGAACAATAAACTAATGGAAAAGATCAATAACAAAGAAAATTCAATCTATGCCTCTGGAACGAAGAACTCCCAACAAAAATCAAACTCTACCAAAGACTTTCAAACTTGTATAGAGATGACAAATACATAACCTACAAATCTAAGGAAACAAACATACATCTATTTATGTGTCAAGATCAATGACAAAAAACAGAAGAATACATAAGGAACACAATTATCAACAAAGCCAAACAATATAATAAGATAAAGAACACAGAAACACAGATTAATAATTATTTAAGAAACAACTTCCTGAAGTATACTGAATACCTCAAATGTACCATCAAAGAAGTCATACTCAAAGAAATATACAATCTAATAATCAGATGTGTACCAAATAAACAACAAAAGAAAAAATACATAAAAGAAATCAGACAAGAAATTAGGGAATATCTCTATAGCATCTGAACTCAAAGATGTGAAGAATTCTAAAAATGGAAAAAACTTCAAGGTATCACATGAAAAATTGAAAAAACAGCTAGATATAGTGTTCCACAAAAAAGTATGCAACTCAGCACAATGGAAAAACATATACAGTAAAAGGTCAATATATAGACCTGATAAATAAGTATATAGGATAATACATAAAGAACATCACACACTCCTCCCACATATTTACAATTTTATATAGCACTAGCCCAGCCTTGGCTAGTTAGCTCCTACTAGGGTGGCAACAGGCTGCGAGGTGAGTCCTTATCTATTGAACTAGTTTGATTAACATAGGTAGTTTTAACATAAATAATATATACATCTCTATTTAATCCAAATAAAGTAAGGCTAAGCCAGCATTTAAAAAAAAAAAAAATTGTTGTAGGGCCTCCTATAATTATTGTCATTGTTCCCATTGTTGCCATTATTGTTGTTGTGGTGTGACCTACAGTCACATTGCAAGTGTCCAACTTTTCCACAGTTGTTGCAGGTACAAGTTTTCCTTTAATTTTCTCCCCTATTATTGCTATTAATATTATTATTATCAATATACCTCCTATTATTTGAAGTTACCAATTGTTGAAATTCTTGAGAGAGTTGGGTGATTGCTATTTTAATATCCTTAAGTTTATCAGCATCCTGGTTCAAGTAATTGTATCTCAAAGAATAGGCACTCAAAGTAGAATTCCTAGAGTAGGCTGATTCAGTAGTATGAGCATAGTTAATAGCCTCAGTTATATCAAGAGGACAAGAAATTTCAACTGGTTCCCTCATTTCATCCTTTAAACCATTGATGAATTGTCTAGTTTTATCCTTAAGAGGGTAGTTGTTGCCAGGATCAATGCACTTGTAAAAAAAAGTTATTGCATTCAGGTATCTATCCACAGTTTCTCCTGGTTTTTGTATTTGTTGCATTAATTAATTCATCCACCTTGATTTGTGATTAGTAGTATATCAAGTTGCATGAAATTGATGCACAAAAGATTCAGCTGGATGTGCTGTATTGTCCCAGTAATTAATTTGGTCATTCATAGAAGACCACCAAGTATATACAATTCCTTTGAGGTAAGAGGGAAGTATTTCAAATTTGCGAAGTTCATTAATACAATATGCCTTGCATACTTCCTCAAATTCATTGAGCCAAGTAAGAAGATCCTGTTTCTCTT